AAGATGCAAACTCCTCGCTGCACGTCAGCTGCCTCCTAATATGTGCAGCACAATGACTTTATGAACGTCAAACTCCACACAAAAATGCCAACTGACCCAGCCAATGCTCAAACCAGTGACCTTCTTGCTGTTAGGCAAATGTGCTACCCACTGCACCACCTTATCAGGTTTTCCTCTGCTTAAATTGCTTTATTTACTCAAATGGATTAAGTTCACAGTACTCATTAGGATTAGTTTTTGAACTTTAATGTTTGTTGCAATTGGTTTCCTCAAATGCTAAGTTACTTTAACTTTTTGGGTTTTACAGTGTAGCAAAACCACATACCTAAACCATTACCTAAACCCAATTAATAGTGCTTTATGAAAAACATGAAAAGTAACTGTAGCCACATAGTTTCACCTTGATTTTACATTTTTTTATTAGTCAATAATATGTTCCTGTTAGTATTTGATTCACTAACAATTTTTATATTTTCAATACAAATAAAGTCAATGGGAATACAGACTTGTTTGGTCATCAACAGTCTTTCAAATAATTTCTTTTACATTTCACAGTAGAAAGGCCTCATGCTGTGCTCACACCAGACGTGGCAAGCACAGATAAATAAACATTTTGAGTTTACACTCTTTGTTTGCGGGTCAATCCGCTTCATTCACGCATCCCATTTACTTCCCAACAGACGTGGATTTGCTTGATGACCAGGGCTTTTGTCTGCCCAGTGACTCTAGCTTTGTTGCTAAATGGCCAACATAGATTTTGTAGAGAAAATAACCGTGTTTATGTGCTTTATGAAGGCTGAAAAACAGCACTGATACATTTGGAGGTGTGTCTGTGTCCACTAGATACTTTTAGAGGTGCACCAAGCTCTATGAGCTCATACATTCCTCCAGAAACTAAACCTGGATGTGGAAGCTTTCAGCAGTGCTTCTGACTGAGCCGAGCCCAGTTTGATGAACTGTTGTCAGTGTTGGCAGGACGATTTTTCCCCGGGACACCAACAACAGGCGCTACGTAATAATCACGCCCCCACAAGAGCAAGCTCCTGACTGGTTACCGCAGCACAAATGTCTGCTGAAGTTTAGATTTTCGAACTTGCGACTCTTCTCGCGAATCGCACAGCCTTATTCGTGCATATCACGCCGCAGGATGTCTATTTGCACCTTTGCATTGATTTAACGTGGAAATCAATCGTGCTTGATGCTTCTTCCATGTCTGGTGTAAACGCAGCATTAAACAGTTACAATAAATGATTTTTTGTTCATAAAAGTGAACAATAAATTATTATTTCACTAAAACAAAATTAAGTAGCAGTCAGATTTACCAATTTTAGGCAAATTTAAACACTGAAATCTCAACAGAAATCCACACATTCTCCAATTTCATGTAGGGGCCTAAATCTCCATGTTTATTTCCATGCCAGATCCAAGTTGGTTGTGAATTCCACCATAGAGCAGAAAAACACAAAAAATCTTAATAAATTACTTTTTTGAAATTTCACCAAAAATGACCATATAGCTACTGAGAACAATCCAAATGAAAATCATTTTTTGGAAGTGCTTCAAGAAGAAAAATCTGTCTAAACTGGGCGTTGATGAACCATCCACTGAGGTTAATGAAGATAATTTCATAGTCTGCTGATGCAGCCAGCCACTAGTTGAGTGGGAGCGTCTAATAGCGACCGCAGTGCTTTGTGACCTTCCTTCGGTGATTTAATTGCTGTCAGAGTGAACAGCCCATTACAGATCAGTCACGCACTGAAAGAGAAACACTAGACCGAACTGCTCTACTGGGCCCTGCTTCCCAATCTGGTCAGGTGCCGCATTCACCCTACCTGAAAGATGAGAAGCAGACCTTGAAGAAAAATACTCAACTCGCAACAACTCCATTGTCACATTAGTTTACAGCTTACAGAAATGTGTGGACTTCGCCCATAATTTGCTGAAGGTCATAAAAGTAGGACTGCTCTCATTTGCATAACATCCCCAAAGTAAATGATCTTCATTATGTGGTAAATTGACTCAATTGTTCATAGTTAATTGACCTGTCCGTGTCTAGCACTAACAGCTGTGATGAGGAGCATTGAGGAGTCAGAGTTCTGTATTGCCCTGTACTCCCAAAAATCCCTTTATAGGCATATTAATAAGGCTGTATGAAACAAAACACCTGCACATCAACTAGGGATAATGTTGACCTCTAGAGAGTTTGATAAAATTTTGCGAAAAGAGTTTGCGAAATTCTGTTGTACGGTGCTGTGAAAAGGGGTGGGATTAAACAAGTTAAACATTAAACATTTCTGTACAGAGAAAACATGTTTTGCTCTTCTATTGGTTTCCTGCAGTCACGTGATGCTATTTTGTAGATCAAAGTTCACCAAACTTAAAGCTAGCAAAAGCTTGCATTCCCTTTCTGTCACATTTGCATGCATTTGAATGAAAGTCTATGGGACGAAAAGTGTGACTGCGGCTTAACTTGGGCCCTATTTGGATGGCAATTGTTTCTCATAGGAACATCTGTAAAAAAAAAATAAAAATCTCCAAAGATCCTAAGCAAAAGGCATGCAATAATAAATACAGTACACAGACACAAAAATTCTAGCACTTCGTAAATGTAAACGTTAATTTTTAATAAACAAGATGCAGCTTTTCTGATGCACATTACCATAGTGCCAACTTTTAGATCGATCGCCAATATAATATGTACAAAATAGATTTGGATGGCACTTAAATTGTCACAGGACCTCTGTGTTCGTCAAAATAAAAAGATAACAGTAGGTAATAGAATCCTGCTCCCAATTCTCGCTTCCAGACAAGCTTCAGCCGTGGTGCTCCACTATCGCATTTGTGCACTCCCCAAGGAAATGTGAATAACTTCTGCATAAATTACGTACTGATTTCACACAAAAGCAGACATAAAGGTCTGTTTTCAGGATGTAAATGAAAATGAAAACAAAAAAGCTGAAGCTATAGTATAATGTTCAGATCAATTAGAATGTTATAAAATGATTCCCACATAACCCCACAAATACTTCACCAACACACGCAAACTGTAGTATCTCAAACAAGGCAATAATGCATCAACAAATTTATAAGAGACTGTAAAGATTAATTCATTGTTTATCTGGTGCTCCAGGCAAATGCAGTGTAAGTTGGCTCATCGAATCTGTTATCTTTCTCTGGTAGTTCACTGGTTATGATCACTTATCCAAATAAACCAAATTAAAGTTGCATCGCTGAGCTGCATCGGTTTGATAACAGAAAGGTTCTTGAGTCTTCATCAGCAAATAACAGCATCATTTGTTGACAGCTCATGGTGAGGCAATCCTTTTAATACATTTCTCTAAAATTTAGGAAAAGATTAAATATACAGTATGTCAAATTTTTTGGGTAGCTTTGTAAGTCCTAAACAAGCACATTTCCATTTAAACATTTTTTCCATGTTAATCGCTGATGTTACTCTACTATGCCTGGTTAATCTGACCATTCAGCTTGTCAAAGAAAGTGATGTGCAGTGAAGGTGCACAGAATGTCAGTGTTATGATTGTCTGGATTGCCTGTCAATCCAATGGTTTGTGAAGGATCAATTCAGCCAAGGATTTTCAAGTGGGTCATGAGAGAACAAAACAGACATTACGGAATCAAACAGCTACAGAATCCCCAAAAACCAGAGTCGGGCAAATTCCTTTTAAACAGTAATTAGTTATAGTTGCTAGTTTCTTCTCACAAATAGTAACTAAGTTACATAATTATAAAAGTAATAGATTACCAGGGAAAGTAACTATTGAAAATCAAATCATAAAATCAAAATCTCGATTAATTGAACATTAGCTGGATTATGATTAATGATAAGTAAAGTAAGACTCAAGAATGAGTCCATCGTCCTACTTGATTTAGAGATCAGATGTGGCTGCAAAGTGGCCGCACATGTAGAAATCAGCCACAGCCTTTAATAGAGCGAGGGAAAAGTAATTGATAAAATCGTCCTCGAAAAATTTGATTGATTATCAGGTCTGAATGTCGATTTCGATTCATTTTCGATTAATCGCTCACCCCTACTTTCACCACAGCAAAGGGAAAAGGGTGCTTGTATTTCCAGTTCGCAAACACTACCTTTGAACTTGTTGGATTTGCCATCATTGTAAATAATAAAAATCCAAAAGAAGTTGAAGAATGAACAAACATGACATGAATTCAAACAAAATCCAGCCAAAAAGAAGTTTGTTTTGGCAGTTTGAAATTGCCCACCAAAGCAAGCTTTTTGGGGTTTGTTTTGGCTCCTAAATAACTTTGAGCTACCATTGGCCGAGGGAGATTGAGGAATCAGTGGGCAAGTTCTGAAACCCATATTCACAGCAGACAGAGTACAGCAGAACAACATCCAAAACATCAAGTTAGCAACATGAAAACAATAGAGGGTAGAGTAACAAAGTTGATACAGATGTGTTCAATGTATGAATGCTCAAAGTCCAATTAAAAAAAAAAAAGAGAAGCATCACCATGCTGTTCTAAACATTGTTTACTTTAAATATACAATTCTGTATTCTGCCATTCTGTATATGGCAAATAGAAAACAAATGTAAAATATGACACTTCTCATGCGGCATGTGACAGGCTGGAAAAGACAGATTGCCAGATGTTTAAGAAAGAGTTTTTTCTCACAACCACTAGCATTGTTATGTTTAGGGACACATTTACAACCCTGTCTACTGCAGCACAGTGGTGTTGGAGTGTTTGAAAACAGTATAACATCACTCAGCCTTTTTGAACGTCTTTTTGCCCTTAAACAGAGAATGCAAAATGAACTTATCTGAAGTATGTCAGGGCCTTGAGGGACAATTACCATCTGAACAGGGTTTGGTCTAGCAGTCATATTGCGTCATCAGCAGTGCACTAATTGTGATGTTTTCTCAGGTGGCCACTACATACTTCATAGAAATGAACAGATACGAGGATCATGTGCTCTGAATGTGAGTGTGAGAGGGGGTTGTGGATGTTTGACTCACCAAAACTCTGCCGGTGAGGGTCTGTGCTGAGATCATGACCCCGGCCCAGTCTTTGACTGAGGTCATCCAGCCCACTTCACTGGCTGGGGCTTCTTCTTTTTCATTCCCAGTCTTTGTTGTGCCATCAGCCTGAATAGTAATAGGGTTATTCACCTTCTGTGCCTCCTGAAAAAAATAAAGCACAAATGAAGAAACGTGAGCAAAATGAGGGATTTTAATATAAAATCAGAAACACTGAATCAAACATGAAAATCAGGACTGGTACATTAAATACTTATGTAAGTAAATCTGTTGATGACATTAAATTTAGGAACATTGTGTATTTTTCAATAAATTTGATGAGCTATTTAGGAGTTTTTATTTTGATTAAAATTACTTTCAATGTATCAAAAAATAGAATGAAAATAGCCCACATGACCACAAAAAAATATTCAAACCTTTTACTCTTGTGTTTTAAATCAATACTAATTTTTTTATTAAAAATATCATATGATTAATTATTGTTTTAGTAAGTACAGCCCAAAATTAGTGTTTTAATATATCATTAATGTATCAGTTACAATTGATGATGAGGATTTATATGCTTTAAGTGTCATTGGATGAGCATTGGATTATTTTATTTGACACTGTATTTGACAAAAATTTTAAAATCAAGATTTATTTAAATATCATTAAAATGCCAAAACATCATAAAACAGGGCTGCTTGATTATGGAATATTTTCTAATCATAATTATTTTGGCCAAAATTGTAATGATGTAATTATTTAAATCTATGTAATTTGTAATTTTTTTCCTTTTTAAAATATTTCCCAAATGATGTTTAACAGAGCAAGGACATTTTTACAGTATATCTGATTATATGTTTCTTCTGGAGAAAGTATTATTTGTTGTTTTTTTTCTAGAATAAAAGCAGTTTTAAATTTTTCAAAACTATTTTAGGGACAAAAGTATTAGCCCCTTTAAGCTATTTTTTTTTTCTCGATAGTCTACAGAACAAACCATCATTATATAATAACTTGCGTAATTACATCAACCTACCCAAATAACCTAATTAACCCAGTTAAGCCTTTAAACGTCACCTAAAGCTGTATAGAAATATCTTTAAAAATATCTAGTAAAATATTATTTACTGTCATCACGGCAAAGATAAAATAGATCCATTATTAAAAATGAGTTATTAAAACTGTTATGTTTAGAAATGTGTTATTAGGGAAATAATAATTTATAATAATTAGGGAAAAAGATAAACAGGGGGTCTAATAATTAAGGAGGGCTAATAACTCTGACTTAAATTGTGGATAGATAGACAGACAGACAGACAGACAGACAGACAGACAGACAGACAGACAGATAGATAGATAGATAGATAGATAGATAGATAGATAGATAGATAGATAGATATGAGATGTATGACACTGTCACATGAGCAGCAGTGCGATGTGGATGCAGGCCGAGGGCCATAGTGCCCCACCAGTGACGACATACAGGCACATCGCACTACTACTAGTGTGATATTGCGTTTATACAACAGTTCGATGGCACAATCATGTATATACAAAAGAAAATCAAACACGAAGAGTCTAAAAATCCTTTTGTGTGAGAAACTACTTTCTTTCACCATTCCTTTATACATTTGCAGCTAACGTTAGATCAGCAGAAACATTTGCTACTTCACCAACATTAATTTTACACCTGTTTCACACCGCACACGAGAGCAGTGCACATAGGCAGAACGTTTGCTGCGTGCATACATTATCCAGCACTGCTAGCTCACGCTCCGCGCTCATGCGCTGTTTCTGTATGCGGTATGAAAGCTAGCGTAAAGCCCAAAGTGATGACAAAACAAGTGATTTTGCTGACATTTTAAGATTATAAGGCTGAACTGTATGAAATGCCATAAGTCTACAGAGTTTTTCCAGTATTTCTCTGTTGCAATAAGGATATCACAATAACTATCCCCAAAAAAAGCCAAACGACCACTACCAGATTACTGCTGTGTTTGCGATAAGGAAAACATTAAACACATGCAGGCTTTTCTTCATTCTTTCTTTTCACTGGACTGGTCTGCAGTAACAGTAAGACTGCAGTAAGACTCATTAGAAACAAACAGATGGCCAACCAAAAAGTAACTCAGGCTAATACAGTCCAATTTTACACTCAACACACTACAATTACATGATATAAATACAGCACTGCAACACACAAAAGATGGAGATTGACCTAGAATTTAATTTACTGGTTTAATAATGATTTGATTAGCTGTAGTTAGAAAATTTCACTGTTTTTAGACTCTAAGGGCCTATGCATTCTTTCGCCATCTTGTGAATGAACAGCGTCAACAGGCTCCACTCTGGGATAGGCTAATAGTTGTCGCTGTCTCTCAGAAATTACAAATATTTTAAAATAGGCACTATCCTTATAAATAAACAGCATAGTTGCAATCTAAACAACTACATTCTCGACTAAAAAAAGCCCCAACAGAACATTATGTTGTCCAACAGCAGCAATATTTGTCAAACTGTAGAGTCTCCTCTGATTATATATATATGTATGCATTTTTTTCTGTAAATAAGGTTGCTCTTACACCTGTACATTTTACAAAGTAAACAAAAATTCCTTAAAAATATGCAAAATAATAAAATTAAATACAATGGGAAACTGGGCTTTAAGCATCTTTACTGAAATAATTTAACTTGATTTGTTTCCTATTAAAGCTACTAAAGTCCTTCAGTGAAGAGCACTAAGTGATTTTGTCCTTGTCTTTGTTGCTTAATTAATGATATGCACAGTCGGCGGCAGGAAAATAGTGCACATTCTCATTTATTGTTTCACTCTAACATCACATTTTGATGCATTTGAACAAAGCCAATATTTTTATTAAAATAATATTTTAGTCATCAAAAATCTTCACAAATCTAGAGATAACAAATTTAAATTAATGAAAAATCTTTGTCAAAAAATTAAAAACTATAACATTTAACAAAATATATGATATTTCAGAAGTTTCTACTCATTTTTGAACTGTTGTTGTAAGTTATTTTGATAGATTAGATCCAGAGTTGGCTTCAGTACTGACTAATCTAACGTATATGCAGAAATAAAACATTGTAAAACATCCTATAGAAAGCTATTAATTTAAAGAGAGGTCTGTGAGGGGTGTCCTCATATATGCTGAGCAATATTCAAATGTGTTGTTTTGACTGCTAATTTAATCATAACTTGTGCATGCAATAGAAAAGGTAAAGCAGTAATGGACTGGGTGTAGATCTGAAAACCTTCAGTGTCACATTCATTCAGCACTATTTTTGTCCGGTTCTACAGCTTGACCCATGCTATAGTTTGACAGTCTAAAACCTAGATCACTTAAACATCAACCTAGTTGTCAGGTTTGTGACAGCTGGGACAGACCAAAGATGCCCAGTTAAAAGAGCATCTCTCAGACTGGCTGGCGCTCAGAGAGGTGCTGGTGGTGTGTAGTCCGAGGCAGGGACAATTCTGATTCACAGCCTCAGGCATTCGCTGTGGCATTATGGAGTTGCTAGGCATAGCTTCACAGTCAGGTGGGTGGATGAAAATACAGCCACCATGCGCACTGTGGTGCAGCCTGATGCTTGAGGAGGAATCACCCAAATTCAAGCGCAGGATTGGCAGGCAAATAACACGCTTGGGTTACAATGCATAAATAACAGCAGGTAATATTCTAATTTCTGCAACAGCACAACAATCTTTTGAGCATCTCTCTCTCTCTCTCTCTCTCTCTCTCTCTCTCTCTCTCTCTCTCTCTCTCTCTCTCTCTCTCTCTCTGCTCAGCGGGATCATGTGCTGAAATGGAATATCAGTATGATGCAGAAAGCTTTTGTTTGGAAGCAGAATCCAAGAATAGTATCCAGTATGGTTGTCGCGATACCATTAATTCATGTCACAATACTATATCAGCTGAAATATCATGATTCCAAGCAGTATTGCGATACTGTAATTCATAACTCAAATCCATGAAATAGTTCATGCTGTCCTGGGGGAGAGCCCTGAGCTCATAAGATCCTCAAGCCCAGGGCTCCCTCTCGTTTGCAAGGCGAGAGGGGTGTTTGATCTCAGGTAGATCTCAAACTCTCATGCTGTATTAGCTAATGAACAGATAGTGACTGCTCTTAAAGGTGCAGTAGGTGATCTGCCAAAATGCTAATTCGTTAGCTTATTAGCTTTGGACAGCAGGGGAAGGACTGTGTTTCAAAGCCACATCTCCAAAAATCATGAACACGCTCACCGAAACACGACAGCAGAAACCCACTAGCTTATGTCATTCGACAGTTAGAAGTGTGTGCAGTGGTTGGCAAGGCGGCGTACAGGAATTACACTCATTACTAAGCCATACTTACATGCTATTTCAGAGCGAATAATTAGAGTAGCACGGTAAACAATATCGGGAGCACGTCACAGGCTGTCATTGTTTAGAAATGACCCAATGTAAATATTTAAGCAAATTCACCTCAGTAAAGCAGGCTAGGCAGTATAACACTATTTACTGATGTTTTGTTGTTAAACAAAATATAAATCTACATTATCGATGCTCTAAAGGGACCTTATGAAACAGAAAATAGTTACATCAATCATTCACTGGGAGATTTCAGTGGCTGAACAACAAGTCTGTGCATATAACCCAGTTGTACCAACATCTTCAGCTCTGCGTGAAGCTAAAATAGTTTTAAAACAGAACTTTACCTGTCTAACAGAAATACTTCAGCCATGGTGTCGTCCTTCCTCCACCGTGCAAAAGTAACTCCAATATTGATTCAGGAGTGTAAAAGTTTCAATTCAGCATTTGAGTTTTCCGCAACTGACTGTCTTGTGTGCACGCCTAGATGAGCGTGGTGCATTTAAAACACGTGCACACGATACAGTCACAGTTGCGGCAAACTCAAATGCTGAATAAAAACCTTTTAAACTCCTGAACATCCGCTAATGATATAACCAGATATACATGAACAGAGATGCACAAAAGCCCAAATCTGCATTTGTTGAAAGACAGTTTGAGCTACTTATCGGAATTATGGGAGATGTCACTGGGTCACTGTGCCACCCATCTAGGATCGGAGGAATGGGGGTGGAAGGAGGGATTCTTCAAAATGAAGATGGCTGTTATATGAAACTTAGGGTATTTATAGTG